GATCCATGGTACATGAGAATGGTGAAATTGATGGAGACGTTTCTTATAGAATACAAGCTGGCTGGTTAAAGTGAAGGAAGGTTACTGAAGTTATTTACGGTAAGAATGTATCTGAGAAGTTTAAGGAAAAATTTTATTAGACTGTTATAAGACCAGCTATGTTGTACGATAATAAATGTTGGGCGATAAAGGAAAAATAAGAGTACAAAGTTGAAATAGCAGAGATGAGGATATTGATATGGATGTGGTCATACAAGAAAGATAAAATTCGAAATGAAAATATCAAAGTAAGAGTTAGTGTGGTGCCTGTTTAAGAGAAAATGGTTGAATATCGCTTATGGTGGTTTGGACATATGCAAAGAAAGCTATTAGAGGCCTCGGTGAGAAAGGTAGATCAGACAGTATGAAGTCTCATAAAAAAAGGTAAAGGAAAACTGAGAAGAACGCTTAATGAGATCATTGAACGAGATTTCCTGATCAACAATATATCTAAGGACTGAGTTGTTGACAGAGTATAATGACGCCGTGTGATTTATGTAGCCGATCCCATTTAGTGGGATAAAGCTTTGTTGTTGTATTGTGATGTATGAGGTTTTGAATCTTCTGAATTTTATCTTTCCAAAGTTCCCTATTAGTTAAGATATTTTTCTTCCCTCGTCCTCCTCCATGCGTGTTCTCACTTGTGTATATATATACATATATAGAAAGAGAGAGGGATAACATTTCATGTTCCCCGCTGCAACATGAAACATGAAGCAGCGCGCGCGCGCGCGCACACTACCTAACTAGTTCACCTTGTAAATATAGGCAGCAGCTATTGGTCTGCTAGATCATAACAAGTGAATTGATTTATAAATTGACAACATATGATCCTTCGAACAACAACAACACAAAGAAAACGGAAGGTCTCATCATATTTTTATGTTATTAGACAGTTTCTCGGTCAACACCTAACAAAGTTTATCTAAATATAATCCAATCCTTGTAATTTGATTTCTTCTAACAAGCAAGGAGCTTCAGGAAAGGGAGCCTAACATACAATTCCCAGACCTATGAAATATGAACAGTCATCAGTGCAAACTGTAAACACACGAAGTTCCACAGCTAAAAGCTATCAGGTTTCTTCGATGATTGTCTTGAAAACATGAGTACGAAACAAACATTAAGTCAAACTTAGGCTGTGTTTGAAGTGGCGTTAATTGGTTGCTCCGGTCAAACTGTATTCTCGGAGAGCCAGAACACCACTTCATACAGGCTATTAAGCATCAACTTCTTCCTTCAGAACAAACTCAAACGCTTCATCATCCCATGAAATAGGAGAAGATGGTGCAGAGTCCCATAGTAATGGAGGAGGAGATGGAGGACAGCTCCTCTGTGCTGAAGAGTCCAACCAATAAGAAAACTTGGACATTGGCAATTCCTCTGGTTCTGGGTAGCAACGAGGGGATTGAGGGACCTAATAAAGCCACCAAAAAGAAGTTAAGAGTAAATGTTGCAACGAAGGGAAGCAAAGCAGCAAAGAGAATATAATTTAACCGCGAAATGAATATATGTTTACTTAATTTTTTGAATGATTAAGTATTATAATCAGTAAGTAACCAATGCTTTTGTTTTGGTCCAAGGTCACCTCCCCTTTAAATATTCATAACCAAAACAAAACAAGTGAAGAAAAAGGTATGACAGGAAGGGAATATTACCTTAATCTGATCAAGAGAAGTTATGGAATCTGCAAGAATAAAATGAAGTAAGGATTCTGGATTCCCACACAGAAGCTTTCAAACTTATTGTAAAGTAGTAATAAGAAACGGAAACATCCATCTTTTTTTTTCCATCCAAAGGAAGAGTTAAAAGATAATATTCAGATATGTTGCACACAATCTCTCCTCAAATATTTATGTAATTCTGATCTTAACAAATCTTTGTAAGTTAGGTGTCCAATGCCATCATCCTTTTCTTCATATGCTCTATAGTAACACAATCCTCTTTTCTTAAAGCATGTTTCATGAATCATCCTTGAGATTGCTAGTCTTCATTCCTAGTGTTACTATTAGCAACACGAACCCTACATGCCATGCAAGAGGACTAAGAACAACTTGCATTATGGGCCAGAAACAAATACCATCTTGTGGAAGAACCATGTCTAGATTCAAAGCGTTCATTGCTGCTTTTTGGGCTTCAATGCACTTCTTATGGTCATGCAAGAACGTTTCCTCCTTCACATTGATTTCTTGTTCTTCCTTGGGTGCATTCTTTTTCCTTGATGAGGCTTCGACAAAAACAGATGCGTTTTTGTTTGTAATGTCGTTGAGAGCTTTTCGACCAGTAGGCACTAAGCCAACTTTCTTTCCATCCGCTTTAGAATTCTTTGTCTTCCCACTCAAGGCAGCTTCTATTGCAAGTCATAACCAATATAACAGGAGAAAATCACCATAGTAAGAATTCATTTTGTGTGCGATAATCATATTAGTGCCATCTTATTAATTAAATGTAAAAATAATTCTCAATCACTTTATTCTTGAGCACATCTATGAAACAAAAATCCTATTGATGTTACACCACTCTACTCAGGTCAAGTGTTCATAGCAACATAAGCCTTACTCTTGGGTTTGGATTGAAGAACCAAATTTTCATCTTTAATCATCAGCTTCCCAGGGGTGATATATTTGGCCATTACCTTGTTTAATCCAATGCAGCAGAGAAAAGGCTTGGGTACTAGGCTCTGCAGCAACATAGAAGATAGCATGAATTGATTTTTTTTTTTTTTCAAGTGAAAGTTATTTCACACTTAATAAACGACTCCTCTTGAAAATGTTCAGTTTTACAGACTGAAAAGAACACTTTTTGATTCTGAGTCTGAAAAATACACACAAGCAACAAAGCAAGCCCTAAAGAATTACTGTAGTGACCATGATAACTCCGCTCTAAAGAGTTTAGCAAATCAGAGATATAATGGTCCTTTGCGGATAAAGAGGCTATAAGAATCTTGTGGCGCGACTCACAATTGACAATCTTAACATAAACTTTAAAGGTCCTCAGTCCAAACAGAAGAGCAAAGGTTGTCTAACGATCCCCTATTTTCCGATTAAATAATGAACGATTGTTTTCTTTACTCTTTCATCACTCGTTCAATTTTCTTCCACCATTCCACTCATCCCTCAACACACACACACACACACACACACCCCATTACGTATTTGCCTTTTGCCCAATTTTCTACAAACTAATAACACCTTTAATCTGTTCACAACCCTTTTCTTGCCGATCCAACGAATGAGAGAACAAGAAAGGATCCAAAACAGCAGAAAGAGAGATGCTGAAAGGGAATAGGATGATACCTCGGAGAACAAAGACGCTCAAGAAGATGAACAGACCACGGTGCCGAATTCTTCAGAGTTCAGTTTGAATTTTGCTTCGAGCCCGCGAGAGAACGACGCTATGTAACGACGAATAGGGTAGGCGGTTTATTTCTGACCGTTATAAATATCCAAAGGGGGAGGAGAAGAAGAAAAAAGCAAATAAAAAGCTGAATTGATGAAGGGTTTGGACCAAAGAACCCTTAATAAATTTCAATATTCCAACCTTAACCTAGAACTTTATGACTTTTAAGGTAGGTCACATTTTTTTGTTGGTAAAAAAAAAAAAACCGAATTTATCAGTATAGACTAGCAAGTCTTAATTAGATATGTGAACGTGTGTCATTTATTTGTTCTTGATAATTTAGCAAAAGTTACTCATAAGTTGGAAAAGAATTTTTGTATCTTTGATCAATCTCCACTTTAGATCTAAGAGGTGGATCTTGATCAAGAATAGTTCTTTTGTATTGCTGTTTGCTTTTAATAAGTAATGTTATTCAATATTATTAAAAAAAAGGCAGTTACTAATAAGTATTGATCCAAGTGAAAGAGATTTCGAGACTTTAAGTATCATGTCCTAGGTCGATTCTTAGGGTGATGCATATGGAGAAAAACATTGTTAGGAAGAATCCCCATTATAGTACCTGATAGTATTTCAAGATATTAGTCTCTTCCTATTTGGATGAGAGGATACTCTAGATAACCCAAAAAGAAAAAAATAAGGTAGTTTTTTTGGGTCAAAATAGGACAGATTAATATGGAATATGCAGATGCCAATCGTATTTTTGTGCTATTCCACCTAAAGCTTATCTCCCTCATAAAGGTTACATTCATAATGTGGATACAATGATAATTCTTAAACTTTTAAAATTTTATTTACATTAATATTAATAATACAGATAAATCTTTAGCTTTTGAGTTGTGGTCTACTCTTTTTTTTTTTTTTTGCCAATAGTCATAGTCTTTTTTAAGATATAGATAATAGGCTAAAATATATATTTAATTTTTAATTTTGTATAAAATTTTAATTTGATCTCTTAACTTTAAAAAACATACATTTATCTTTTAATCCTAAAATCATTAGTAGTTAGTGATGATTTTTTGTAACAATCATAGATGTTTTGAAAATTAAACTTAATATGTTAGCATTTGAGAACATTTTATCAATATTTAAGATGTTAACGTCGTTATTTTTTTAAAAAATTAGAGGGTTAAAGGATTAAAATATACTTTTTAAAATTAAGTGACCAAATTGAAACTTTATACAAAATTAAAGGACCAAATATATACTTTAGCCTAGATAATAATAGTTAGACATGTTAGAATTCAATCCTAATTTAGTCTAGGAAAAAATCTCAAAAAATAATTGTTGAATTTTAAAATTTTAAATTAGAAATTATTATAAATGTGTTGTTATTTATTTTTTGAGTGTAGTTATTTTTTTTATGAGTACGTATTAATACTGATTTAAAATTTTAAAATTTAATAGCGATATGTTTTGGGTGATTTTCTCTATGAAAAATCCGAACATATCTAAAAAGTTGTACCTATCCCTTCTATTAAAAAAAAAAAAATTATAACCCTAACAGCGTAGTCTCGCCTAGTAAGAGGGAGCACATCCATTTTTCTTCGTCGACGAACAAGCATTCCCACTTGGTTAGGCTCGCCGTCGGACGCCGTCCACCGTTGTTTGGCCTGCGTGGTTGCTGTCTAGCAGGTATTGAAGAATTTTAGAACCCTAGGGCTTTCTCTGCTTCCAAAGTTCGGTCAGATTGATTGGTCTAATATGGCTTTAAATCTAGATTTGAATTTGTTCCCCGCGTGGTTGTCAGCCTGTGTCGAACTTCGTCGCGCCGCCTCTTGCTTTGTTTTAATTTTTTTTTCACTTCAATTCGGCTTTGAATCTGGTTGTGTAATCGTTCGAACTTTGACGCTTTTGAATAATAAACTGAGCTTAATGTTTTTTGAACTTTAATTTCTAGTTTTTGCCTCAATGTTGTGTAGTCGGCTATTATACTTCTGCCCTCTCATTTTGATTACTGGCGACCTATATGCTTTGTATTGTTTTGCTGTGTGACATTCTGTTTCTTGGTCTCTTAATATTATCATCAATTCAGAAAATTCTCAAGGTATTTGTGATGCATGATCTGGTAAATGACTTCGCTCAAGTTGTGTCGGGCAATATGGAAGCTGTAGTTTAGATTGTAATTCTTCAGTGGCTTGGCGAAGTTTCCTGAATCAGTAAAAAAAATTTAAGCTCTTATGAGTTAATTTAACTTGTTCTTTTTGGTGTGTCTCCATTATCCAGGAAGTCATTGGCGCCCAAAAAATTCTCCCTCTCGTCTGTTCCTTTTTTGTGTTTTTCTCTTCAATTATCTTGGAAGATTCTCGAAGCTCAATTAAATCGGCATGGGTAGAAGTTACAATAGTGAATCCAGTGAAGAGCATGTGAAGGATGAGAGAGATAGATATCGATATCATAGTAGACATAGACGGGATAGGACCTATGATCGTGAAAGTGGTCATAGACACCATCGCACCAAGGACAGACATAAAAGCAAAGATCGCCATGGGCATCATGATTCAGAGGATGAAATTGACAGGAAATCAGAAAGAGATAGAGATAGGAAGAACAGAATCACTAAGGGCAGTGACAGGGAGAAGCACCGTAGGGATAAGTATGAGAGCAAGCAACAAGAAGATAATAGGATGAAAGAGGATGGACATGGAAGGTTAGATGGGGATTCAAAACCTCAAAGACAATCAACAACTCAGGAAGGGGATCTCAATGGCGATAGATCTAATTTGGGTAGAAGTGGAGGAGTTTACATCCCTCCTTTTAAGTTGGCTCGCATGATGAAAGAAGTTCAAGACAAAAGCAGTGTTGAATATCAGCGGTTAACATGGGATGCTCTTAGAAAGAGTATTAATGGACTTGTGAACAAGGTTAATGCTGCTAATATAAAAAATATAATTCCGGAACTATTTTCAGAGAATTTAATAAGAGGGAGAGGCTTGTTTTGCCGCTCATGTATGAAGTCTCAAATGGCTTCTCCGGGTTTTACGGATGTTTTTGCTGCATTGGTTGCTGTTGTGAACACCAAATTTCCTGAGGTGGGTGATCTTTTGCTGAGAAGAATTGTTTTGCAGCTTAAGAGAGCTTATAAGCGAAATGACAAGGTATGCTATCACAGTTTTCTCATGCTAATTTATTCTGTTTTTTATTCTTTCAAGATCAAAATATTCAAGTTGATTTTTTCTTATATATTTGTTTATGTGCCTTGCATGTGTAGCCTCAATTACTAGCTGCAGTCAAGTTTATCGCGCATCTGGTAAACCAGCAAGTGGCTCATGAGATTGTTGCTCTAGAGTTACTTACAGTTTTACTAGAGAAGCCTACTGACGACAGTGTTGAAGTAGCTGTTGGTTTTGTAACAGAGTGTGGGTCAAAATTGCAGGATGTCTCGCCTAGAGGCCTTCATGGTGAGTATTTGCTTGAAGTGCTAAAGCGTTTTTTTCTCCTAATAATTCTAGCCTTTACCATTATTGTATTTGCCAGTTTTTTGAACAATCTTCATTTACATGAGTCTTTTTTTCTGCTTCATTGTTCATACCCGTATTCACATGCCTTTGGTAGTTTATTTTTCAGTTTCTCTTTTATGCTTTATGGTATTAATTATTTTTATCGAAGCATGGTACAATTGTAAGGATGATATTTGGATTACCTTTCTTCTCTTCGTAAGAAGCGAACTGAAACCAAGGTCTGATGATCCATGCTTGTGCTTTTTGTTGGATAGCGAAGGAATTAAAATTTGAAATATGCATTTTTTGAGTGATTTAATTATATATATGTATGTATTTTGAAAGATTAGCCAAACAGCGATGGCATGATAAAAACCTATATTAGATTTCACGTAAATATTATAAGCTTTGTTCAATTTCTGGTGGTGCTTGACATCAAAAACTAATCCGTCTAAAACCTTAGCCTATGTTTAGGCGCCATTGGAAGGCTGTGTTAGAAAATATTGGAACGATGTTACATTGATGCCCATGTTTGCTTTATTTTGAAATACTAAATCTTTTTGGTTATGTCTGATACAAAAAATTTAATAAATGTTATTTGACATTTTGAATGGGTAAAAAGTAGTTTTCTTATGTATTGATTTTACTTGCTTTCACCTCTGCTGGTTTGTGTTATGCATCTCCTTATGCTTTGTAGATATATGCACGTGTAAGGCATGTATGAATATGTACAGATAATGTTTGAGACTTCTATCAACTTCTGTCTTGGATACTTTTATGAGACTATTGTTTTTGTGCTTTTACAGGCATCTTTGAGCGTTTTCGCGGAATTCTTCATGAAGGAGAGATTGACAAACGTGTTCAGTTCTTAATTGAAGGCCTATTTGCAATTCGAAAGGCTCAGTTTCAGGTGCGTCTCTATATATATGTATAGTTATTTATAGATGTTAGCTCAGTAGGACTAAGTGTCAAATTAATTTGCATGATAACTTTAAAGATCTGCTGCAAAGTGACATGTCCAACTTTGTGTTTACAGGGCTATCCAGCTATCCGTCCTGAATTAGACCTTGTGGAGGAGGAAGACCAGTTAACGCATGAAGTCTCCTTGGATGAGGAAATAGATCCCGAGACTTCTCTTGGTATTACTTGAGTTTTATAATTGATTCCTACATCTTGTTTTATTCAATTGTTATATGTGATTGCTCATTTTTCTCATCCTCTTTTGTCCATTAGATATATTCAAGCCAGATCCAAATTTCCCGGAGAACGAGAAGCGTTATGAAGAGTTGAAGAAAACAATACTGGGTGAGGAATCCGAGGACGAAGAAGGCTCTAATGCAGAGTCAGATGATGATGAAGATGATGATGAAGAAGAAGATGATGATGAAGAAGAAGAGGAGCAGATGAAAATAAGAGATGAGACAGAGACAAACCTTATCAATCTTAGAAGAACAATATACTTAACAATTATGTCCAGTGTAGATTTTGAGGAAGCTGGTCATAAGCTTTTGAAAATCAAGCTAGAGCCCGGTCAGGAGGTAGGTTTGGAATTTCTACTGGCAGTTACTGCATGTTATTAGAAGAATAAATAGCAAATGAACTGCATCGTAATTTTAACCATAATTTCCTCATTACTTAGGGACTGTTATCACTTCCAGCATCAAACAAATTGTTCCCATTTGTCTTTTGTTTTAAAAATAGTTTGTTCTAATTTATCAAGTTACCCATTTATCTTGTTGGATTTTGGCAGATGGAACTGTGCATTATGCTTTTGGAATGTTGCAGCCAAGAGAGAACTTACCTTCGGTATTATGGTCTTCTTGGGCAGCGATTCTGCATGATCAACAAAGTCTACCAAGAAAATTTTGACAAGTGTTTCGTTCAACAATATTCAATGATCCACCGCCTGGAAACAAATAAATTGCGCAATGTGGCAAAGTTTTTTGCTCATTTACTGGGGACTGACGCGTTACCCTGGCACGTTTTATCATATATACGGTTAACTGAAGACGACACCACTTCTTCTTCCCGTATATTCATTAAGATTCTCTTCCAGGTATGAGGACGCAAACTTAAATATATCCTTTTACTTTGTGGAAACTTGTCTGTTTGTAGTACAATGATTTTGGTTAGATATTGTAAAAACTTGTCTAGCTGGCAGTATAATGATTCATTTTTGTGTGTGGAAGTTGTTGCTGATTTCACCTTCTTGTTGCTTCTACTACAGGAATTGTCCGAACATCTTGGCATCCGGCTTCTAAATGAGCGGCTGAATGATCCAACAGTGCAAGAAAATTTTGAATCCATATTTCCAAGAGATAATCCGAAAAACACAAGGTTTGCCATTAACTTCTTCACATCCATTGGGCTTGGTGGCCTTACTGAGAACCTGCGAGAGTATTTGAAGAACATGCCTCGACTTATCATGCAACAGCAGAAACCAGTCTCTGATTCAGAGTCAGACGATGAGTCTGGGAGTTCTGATTTCAGATTCGGGATCCGCTAGTTCTGAGTCCAAGTCCGAGTCCGAGTCGGACTCGTCCATTCTGATGAGAGCGACAAGAGGCGAAGAAAGAGGAGGAGAAGGTGAAGTGGCTATGTGCTGGTAAGGGGGTGCAGGGCATAGGTTTAGCCGTGAGTCCCGTGTATTACACGGTTACGAGTGGTGCAACTTGTTGTAGATTTTTAATGTTAAATATTGTGTCTCCAAATGTACCCCGCTAATTTTGTTCGTCATTTGTTTTATGAAAATTCAATTGAATGATACTACTTTTATCCTATTTATGAGTTAGTTGTAGAGAGAAAGTTTGCTCCTAAATATAATCACTTGTAGAATAATTAATGGATATTTTTAAATTTTATTCTCATTGACTTAATTAAATAGAGGAAGAGATAAAGTAAATAAGTGAAAAAAGATAAAACATTTTAATCTCTCCTCTTTAATGAGGGTAGATGTGAAAAAAAGAGGTCAATCTTTGTTTTAGATTAGTGGGGCGCTTGAATCATGTCTAATTTAATTTGAGCCAAGCTTCATTTTAGTCTTCTTTTAATTCTCATGAATTTTTTTATCGGGTATGTTCTTGTAAAAAAGAAGTGAGTGCATAATTCATTCTTATGTGGACTTAAAAAGCAAAAAATTAACCAACAAGAGCTAGTTTAGTTGCTAAGGAGTTGGTTCATAGCCTATAAGGTTGTGAGTCCGAATCATCCTACTAATGTAAAAACCTTGTTAGTAGGCGACTTGTAAATATTTCTGTAAATACTTTTTGAGCATGAAGGTATTCATTGGTCTTGGTGAGTTATTGGGATCTAACTCACCAAAACTTTTTTGTAACAATAAAAAATAACAGGTTATTAGAGTTTTATTAATATAAAGTACTAAGTGGGCAAGGACTAATCCATATGGTTCATTTCACTATGAACTTAGAGAAGATTCTGTTTGCAAGAACCTAAATTAGAGTATGGATACTTTATGTGCATACAAATTTATTATGTTCTCACTAATAAAATTTTCAGCAGGAACTTTTCTCCAGTTTTCTTTTGACTTAAGGTATATCTGAACTTTCAGCTAAAAAAAAAAAGGTATATCTGAACTTTTTTTAAAAAAAAAGTTGACTGTGAACTTAAATATCATGTTGGGCACTACATTGGCTCATATCACTATGTATATGTAGTATATTATAAATTTAAAATATCATTCGTTTTTTTTATTAATAATCAGATTATTTTTAAATTGGCATACGTTTCTGTTTGTACATTGTATGGATAATTGGATATTATTTGGGTTCATTAAAAATAAATTATTTAATGAACCTAAACTAAAGATATTTAATTTTATAATCTAAATTTTTGTTTTTGATACTTTTATATTTTATGTTAACAACATATTTTCATTTTCAAGTTCATTGAATAATTATGTATGGTTTCAAGGGCTAAAGCCTCAAAGGGTTTATAAAGAATGAAATTTATTAATCTCTTAATGTTGACTCTAATTTATATATGATTTATACTAAGAAGTATGTACAACATCACACCACTTATAGAAAACTTGATGAATTGCGGAGGGAGACGAAGGCTGGAAGGAAATTAACCATGCTGGCAATTAATCTAGGGCAAAATTTTAAAAGGGTAATTTTGTTCAATATTTATCACATTAAGGATAGTTTGTCTTTAAATTTTTTGATCCCACGACAGTAACAATACTGGGATTGGGTTGGTTTAAGCAATCCCATATAGGGAGTGTTTGAATGAAACCAAACCATAGTTTTAAAAGTGATTTTACGGTATGTGAAGGAGTTTGTTTTGATTTGCAGAAAAGTACTTTTTAGAAGCACTTCTGTTCCAAACACCCACTTACTTGCATTGCCTAATCCCAAGTCTCCCTAATCTCTTCTAACAAACATCATAAAATGAGCAATGCCAATACCATCCTGGTGCCAACCCTCTCAATTCAATATGACGCATAGGTACCATTAAAATTTTGTTAGAATTTAACCCCCAAAAAAACTGATGTTGGAAAATATTGGAATTGTGTTACACCAATGCACATATTTATTTTGTTTTAAAAATACTAATTTTTTGTCATATTAGAAAACAAAAATTTTAGCAAAAAAGTTATTTGGCTTTAGTGAAAAGTTATTTTCTCATGAACTGATTGTCCTTGCTTTTATTTCTTCTGCCGGTTTATGTGTTATACATCTCCTTATGCTTTGCAGATATACGCACATGGAAGACATGTATGACTATGCATAATGCTTCAAGATTTTATACTAACTTCTGTCTCCAATACTTTTATGATATTATTGTTATTATTGCATTTTTATAGGTTTTTTTTAATTGTTTTCGTGAGAAACTGACAAACATGTCCAATTCTTGACAAAAGATTTATTTGCAATTCGAAAGAATCAGTTTCAATCTATAAATAAGGCAAATTACTTACGTGGATCATTATATTATAACTAACTTATTTGGGAAGACTGAGAAGGTTACTAAATTATTTAATTATAACATATGTTATATAATATCTGTAAAATACTTATGTGGATCATTATATTATATATCAATCTATAAGTAAAGCAAATTAGTTTGGAAAAAATGATAAATATAAATAGTTTAAAGTAATTTAGAATTTTTTAATTTTTTCAAATTAGTCAAGTGTGTCTTATATTAAAAATCAGATGTAGTATTATTTAGTAATGCTTCAAAGCATAGATTAAATAAAGTCAAATTAAGTCATTGAATCATTAAAAAATTACTGGCTATCAGTTGCTAATTGTGTATTTAAATACATGTCAGTTAATTTTGATTAGTTTGACAGTTTGTTGATAGTTGTAGTTTATTGAGAACTGCTTAATTAATTTTAGTAGGTATTTGATTTATTAAAAATTTTATTTTCATAGATAATAAATATTCATATAATGAAAATCTGGGTTTCCATTTGATTAACAGTAAAATCAAGCTACTGGACCAGGTGAACCCCCTAAATGTAATTATTTTTTTAATCCCAAGGTCGATAATCAAGCTTACCATATGAAAATGCAATCAAAACATACTTAGTGAGTTATGGGAATAGTGGGGTAATGATTTTAAAAAAAAAAAAAAGAAGCTTCTACATTACTTCATCTCATGAAATCAATGAAATTCTTTTTATTAAAACAAGAAAACTACAATATTAAAGAAAAAAGATGCTTTGACCCACAACTAAATCACATGGAAGACAGTTTTGTGTTCTCACAAGCAAAATCTTCAATCCTTGTATTGAGAGGTTCCCACATTGTCAAAGTTGGCAAGCCATTTCCCAGAAACCAGCAATTCTGCAGGTACCATATAACTAGGCAGCCTTCAAGGCATCAGATCAGTTCTTGAATTATCTTCCAAACTAGGACGAACTTCCATGACAAAAATCCTGAAATTCTCCTTTGAACATTATGGCCCCAAAACCTCCTTCTATTGTTTCATTACATATAAAAAATGAATAATATCCTCTGATGGGCATGTCTGTGTTCTGCAGAATCCAATTTTTTGCCTTCACTAGAGTTAATTAATCAAGAACTTTTGTGATCTCAGATAAAACCATCTAGTATAATTCTTGTCTTTTTAAACAAATGCTCTCAGATGGTGGCACGTCTTCCTCATCATGCCTGATGAATTCTGCATTCCCGTTACAAAGTCTTGCTGATAATGAAGGTGATAAAGGTGTGCTGTTGCCATCTGCAGTTATTTCAACACAAGACATATGACAGGAGAAAAAGTCATTCCAAGGCTCGACATTCTAATATGGAAATTTAATTTATATATTTCATTGCGAAATTCAACCAAGAAGAAGACCCAACGAATCTCATCAGTATCTGAAGTTCTTCTGAGCCCAAAATTCATGTTAAAACTAAATTTTTAATCAAGCTATGGGAAGACATAACTCTAGAGTGAGGTCATGGAAGCCCTGATACAGCATTCAGAACTATTTCAACTCAAGATTAAGCCTTTTTCAAGGGGAATTAGATTACGATATTATGTGATTGTCATGTGTTGTGTCATATCCCTAACCAAATTTTATAAACAAAATTCACACACCTCTAAAAGAAGGGGTTCTCTCAAAGTCCTTGGTTGCATGTAATAATATTGTGCCAGAAAGCACTATAACAAAGCCACATATATCTGACACAATAGTCCCACCACTTTGACCATCCCAATCCTGCGAGCATGAGTGTGAAACGTGATCAGGCTCATTTTATCACGCTCGGGGGGGGGGGGGGAATGGAAGCTTCTCATGTATCGTAAAATGCTGATACCTTAAACATTATCACACTGGCAAGGATTGTAAGTGTTGTAAACATTACATAATATATGGGAGAGACAACTGCAGTGTTGAAGGTGTCAAGAGCCTGAAATGTTAGAAACATGTTAAAGAATGTATTGATTCAAATCTAAGAACTCGCAAGGATATTTATAGCACTAATCTAAATTGAAGCATCGTTTTCCATGTCCGCTGAATAAAAGCAGAATATCAATCTGAGTAAAATAAGACAAAAACAATACAGAACATGATAAATCAATAAGAAAACACACACACTATTAAAATAGATATCACTACACGTGAAAGATTATATATAGCTGAGAGGTGGTTTCCGTCAGAAAGTTTTACAATATCAACTCGTTTTTTCCCCCCTAAATTAATGTATGTTTAATCAGTTTTAAGCTTCTGAAAGATTATTTGATTGATTACATCCAGGATAGACTATAGGCAAATGGATCAAAAGGAAACAGACCAAAGAAAACAAGCGGAAGAGCAGTTAGCTAGTGAGGCTGAATAGATGCTATTTTCAGCGAGCATGCCAACCTCCTTCGGACAACCATTAATAAAGCAACAAAGACTAACCCCAGATTAGAATGTTACACTTCACCTGCCTGTCACAGATCAAAAGAGAAACCTAAAATCTCAATATCTTTTCTCTGTTTGATTCCACAACTATCAGTATAATGTAGTTTCATATACACCCGCTTATAATTCTCACCATTAATCAAACCTCACATCCTGAATGAACCAAATTATAATGTGCAAAACTGCCCCTTGGCCACATATTAAAGACAACAATTACATCGAAAATAAGGCCATCATTGGTATTTTGGTTTGGGGAGGGGGGGATGAGGACCACCAAATAAAAATGCACTGGATTAAACCTAATGCTACTTTAGTGGTAATGCATGAAAGTTTAGTGAATTTATGGCATGCTTTGATGACAAAGTGATTCTTGGTAAGAAAGATTAACAAAACTAGATGCTGATTCTGAACTATCTTGACCTCCGTTGAGAAGAGAAAAATTCCA